CCCCAACAAAACGCGTCGGCACTCCAGGACGATCTTCTGCCACCGCAGATGACAGGGCTGGGGTAGCACGGGGAGAGAGAGAAGAAAGAGGTGGCATCAGCATCCCCCGATGCAAGCGTGGCCACCGGCGCGGCGCACGCGTAAACTAAGACGGATCGATTTGCGACGGGAGCCCAACCAACACAATACGGGGCTCTCCGAGCCCAGAAGATTCCAGGGCTCTCCAGGCCCATATTTGATCATCTGTACACACACTTGCGATGACAACTGATAGATGAGATTGTATCAAGAATGATGCGAGGCACTCCAGACCCCAAAACAACGTTGGGTAGTAAAGGTATATGAGCATGAAGAATGCGATGCTTCGGTCGTACTCTGACGCCGTGCCATGATACAAAAAAAACATATGTTGACCGTGTGAGGTTGATGGGGGCGACGTGCCTGGGTGCGTTGATGTCCGTTTGCCAAATCAGATCATGTAACTCCAAATCGAGAACGCTCCGCAGTGTAAAACCAACAATAACCGATCAAACGATACTTGTATCATGCTATCTCGAAATGCGCACGGACAAGACACATGCCAACATCAGATCAATGTCGAGAATCAATATCAAACTAGATGTTCCAAGATGCGCAGTAAAGTCTGTCAAGGAATAACCACGTCCAGTTATCATGGTAACGCTCGCCACAACGCGCGATTACCGCAATCGTTGAAACAGCTGGTGGTAATCGTCTGGTAGTTGTCCCATGACCATATGTACTCGTTGTCGTCGCTGTCGATATAGATCCACTCGGGTAGGTGGTGCGACCAATGACGTTATGTGTCGCGCCAGTATTGCTGGAGTCCGCGACGCCACAAGGCGTGGACGTTGCGATGCTCGCGCGCGGCACTCATGCTACGACCGCGGTCGTCATCGTGGTCGAGGTTGCGCCTCGGTGGTGTCACGGGACGGCGCGACGTCGATGAATGGGCGGCCCCCCCAGTCTTGTCCGCGACGTCGCCCCGGCAAGCGCCGCCAGGGGCATAGGCAGGCGCGGGGCCATCACGTCGCGGGGGCGGGGGAGAAGGGGCGAGGCGGACAGCTTCCTCGGGAGCGAACGTAAAGTCGCCAGTCCCACCCTTGCCAACGCCTTGGGGTGCCCGCGCGCGAAAGTCTCTCAACGTGACAAGATTCATCGGACCTGTTCGAGAGGGCGCGGAAAAAGGTCAGACATCCGCGGCCAAGCCGCTCGCCTCGAGGCTTCGTTCCGGAAGCTGGTACCCTCCGGCCGGCGCATCCGAGCCTCTTGGCTCTCGGCCTGCAGGCGCGTCGCCTCGCTCATGCCCTCGATCGTGAACGGGCGCAGGCACGCCTGCGCTCTGTCTGTTATCATGTGACGACGGAACACGCCATCTTCGAGGAATCGACGCGCAAGGCCGGGGTAAGGATGATAATGGACCGTTGCCTCACTGTCTGCGTCCTCCTGTCCACCGACGCGGAGATGCGACGGCCGGAGGGTACCAGTTCCCGGAATGATGCTTCGCGGCGAGCGGCTTGACCGCGGATGTCAAACCGATTGTCCGCGCCCTCTGGGAAGGGAGCAGGTCGGATGAATCGCGTCACGTTGAAACACCGTCGGGCGCAGGCACCCCAAGGCGCTGGAAGGGTGGGACTGACGACTGTACTGTCGCCCCCGAGGAACCTGTCCGCCTCGCCCCTGTTCCTCCACCCCCGCGGCGCGATGGCCCCGCGCCTGCCTATGCCCCTGGAGGCGCTGGCTGGGGCGACGCCGCGGACTGGACTGGGGGGGCCGCCCATTCATCGACATCGCGCCGTCCCGTGACACCACCGAGGCGCGACCTCGACCACGACGACGACCGCGGTCGTAGCATGAATGCCGCGCGCGAGTGTCGCAACGCCCACGCCCACTGCACTGGGACTGGGGAGATTGCGCAACGAGGTTGCGCTGCTGAAGAGCCCTGCCGGAAGCGCCTTTTGTGAGGGGCTGCGGCTGGCGTCTCGAGTAGGAGAACGAGTGTGATACCTTTCTGGAACCTGTCGCTGAGACGCCCGCCCAGCGCGATTCTGCATGGCCCGCGCATGTTCTGAAACGGAGACATTTGTTGGCGACGGAACCTTGGCCCAGCGGCGGCTACGAGCGAGAGCAATGTCAGGAGACACGTTCGCGGCGCAGTGGCCGCTGCGGGCGTGTCCACCCACGATGGTGTCAGCGAAAGTGGGTAGGAAAGCAATCGGCGTAGTGAAGCCAGGGTCGGATCCGACGACAGACGCGACAACTGCGGGTGTGTCCACCGACGGGCGGGATGTATCAGGCTCAGCGGGAGGCGAACCCTGCCGTTGTCGCGAGGGCCGCGGCGTGCGAGAGGGGAGCGGCGGACGCATCGGAGAATCAGGCAAGAGTTCCCCGAAGGCCGCCGCGAAAGACGCAGCACTGCCGTCACCTGAGAGGGGGGAGTTGGGCATCACAGTTTCTCGTGCCCTCTCCATGATGCTATCGCCATCATGCGCCGTCGAGGAGAATGCACGCTTAGGGGCAACACAATTAGGTTGTGTCGCCGAGCGGCGGAATCCAAGATGACGCGAACTGCAGAAGCAAAGGGCGGTTAAGAGAAGGCTGATAACCTGCGAACGCAGGGAAGCGGCCGAAGGGCCGTTCCTGTATAGGGTCCGTTCGTAGAGGCTTCTTTTCCAAGGCACAGCGCAGCGAGCAGTTTTTCAAGGTTAGCTTGCCAATACCTGAACCAATACACTTGCGGAAGGGATGTAATTGGGAAGTGAGCGGACTTCACACACACACAACTGGTCGTGCCCCTGGGAGCGTGGACGCAATGCTGTGCATGAAGGATCGCGGCCTTGGGAATGTGACTCCAGTGCAGCTTCGTCCAGAAACTTGCAGGTTTTTGACGGATGCCTGGAGATGCCTGAAAGGTTCCTGGGAGATCCGTATGGGTTCTTAGGGTTCCAAATGACTCTTCCGGATTTCTACAGACTCCTGGAGATTCCTGTGGGGTCCCCCAAAATCTCCTGAGGATTCCTGCAATTTTGCTGCCGGCGCCTGGGAGATGTGTGAGATGTCTGGACGTTCCGTCAAGATTTACTCAAGGACTCCGGAGGACGTCCGAAGCTCCTGCAGCAGACGTCCAATATCTTTCCTGAAAGATTCCTGCGGATTCCTGCAGGTTGCTGACGGATCCCTCGCGGATTGCGTTGCGTCCGCGCTCCAAGGACGCAATCCTGGCAAATCAATTGCACGGCGCCCGCGCCCCCGGGGCCGCGATCCATGGGAAATAGCTGTGCATGGGCGCACCGAAGGCCACAGATCCCCCTCTTTCAAGAACGAATGAACATATCAAGTATGCGAACATATCGCGGAGGGGTTACATCGGTGGCGCCCACCCTCCAAGATGAATTGAGGGTCTCGGCGCTGTTGATCACGCTGGGGGGCTTGACAATGGCTCCCCAAGATTAGAAGGTGAACACCAGCCGACAATTCGAGCCCTCCGCCCGGAAGCGGCTCAGGGGGCCCGCTCCCCCCCCTAAAAAAACAAGGTCTCTAGAGGGCCCCGAAAGGCATGCATCATTGATGCGCCTTGGTTTGTAGAATGCTGTCCGCATTTTCGCCTTCTGCCCCTTCCGACGCTCCGGGATGGGATGGCCCGAGAGGCCAACAGAACCCCCCCGATACTGCTCAAGCGGCCCCCAAAGAAGCTCCAAGGCGACCCAAGAGGGCCCCCACACCGCCCCAGAGGCGCCCACGAGTGCCCAAGAGGGCTCAAACGATGGCCCCCCTACACGGCCCCAAGAGCGGAAACGCGAGCCCAGAGAGCCCGAGCCATCTGCCCCAACGGCCCCCAGCGGGACCCACTGCCTGGCTGGCGCCCCGAATGCTGCGCTGGCACGGTGGCGGGATTGGCGGGAGGCAGCCTGACACCGTCGCCCCCGTCCCCGCCCCCCACCCGGGAAGCCTCGGCCCCGCCGATCGATGTGCCCGTTCTGGTCGGGGCTTGGTGTCGTTGCCTTCGGGCTTCGCACGCCTTCTCTTCTCTCACGTGCAGCGATAGGGGGGGATAGGCACAGGGGGGCATGCGTCGACCCCCGATCGCCCATTGATCGCCAATAGGGGCCCGATGGTCCCAACCTGCCCAGGAAGGTGCAGCTTCACGATCGCAGGCCTGTCGCCGATCTATCGGCGATGTAGCTATCGCCGATTCCAGGTCGATGCATTCCCCCCCCCCCCTATGCCAGTCCCCCCATATCGTTGCCCCTGATTCTCCCCGCCGCGAGGGGGCACGCCGGGAGAAGTCAACCCTGCCCTGCCCACGTCGGGGCTGGGATGGTCATGACGGTGAGGGCGCACGATGTCTCGCGGCGTCCAGATCAGCAGGGAAGGAGGGAACACAAAGAAGGCGAGGGCAGCGCTGGGCTGCGGGGGAGCTGCTCGAGTGCCACTGGAGCCGCCCGAGCACCGATCAGGACCACGGTGTGTCGGGTCAGCCCTCCGGCCCTCGGGTCAGGACCACGGTGTGTCGGGTCACCTGCAGGAACTCGGCCGTTCCGCACGCGGGCCAGACCCTGAGGACATCACTCTAGCATCTCGCACGAGGGCCCTGCCAGAGGGCCCTGCCACGTTGCCCGGGGGCCCTGCCAGCCGGGAGGCGACGCCGGGACAGCGGTGGAAAGAAAGACCCTTCTTTGGATCCAGAAACGTTGCCCGCGCTGAGGCGAGAGCGCCATTCTGAACGATGGGGGAAAAGCACCGATCATACAAGGAAGCCAACGCTGAGGCTGGAACACCACTCTGAAACGCCCAATGCGCTTCGATGGACACACGCACAAAATATGGAATATCAATGCTTCAAGGCCTGCGTGTCGAACACGAGCAGGGGAGGTTGGACTACGCAGAGCAACCACCGGCCCTCTCCGTTGTCCCTCCTCGCGGGAAGTGCGGGGGGCGGGAGAGGGGCGCAGCACCCCCTGGGGGCCCGCGGGGGGCAGGGCCTTGCTGAGGACCTCCTTGTGCACGAAGGAGGTCTGCTTCTGCCTCGCCAGCACGGCGACGTGCCCTGCCCGCCCACGGCGCCCGCCGGCGCGCGCGGGGGCGGGAGAGGGGCCCAGGGCAGGCCGCCTCGCACCTCGGCCCGGGTCTCGAGGGCGGCCGGCGTGCTGCACTTCCGAGGTGCGCTGCGAGCGACATGTCAGAGGGCATCTCGATGTGCACATCGCTCGCAACTGAACACGCGTTTGAAGCAGCACGTTCCCCGACACACACACACATACATACACACACACGGAATCACACACGTTGTAAGTCAACGGCGCAGAGGGTGCTCAGGCACGAGCAGCAGATCGAAGCGCTAATTGCGATCGAACGTTGTTCAAGCGCACGCACGCGCGCACGCACACATGCACGCACGCACGCACGTACGCACACACACACACACACACGCGGGCATACACACACACACACATACACACATGCATACACACACGAAGCGGGAACACTGCGGAGAAACACCGCGGGACAACCCATGCACCCCAGGACAATCCACTAACACCAAACGAACCAACCATAACAACCCCGGGACAACCCATGCAACCCCGGGACAACCCATGCAACCCCAGGACAACCCATGCAACCCCAGGAAAACCCACAACCCGTGAAAACCCAAGGGACAACCACGGGACAACTCATAGGACAACTGCGTTTCGATCAAGAGGACAACCCTCAAGACACCCGTTGGACTACCCACGGGACACCCCACAGGACAACCATGAGACAACCACAGGACATCCGCCAGAGAAGCCCACAAAACGACACACGGGGCACCCCACAAGACAACCCACGACACAACCCACGGGTCAACCCACGAGACACCTCACGAGACTCTCCACGGGACAATCCACACGAGAACCCACAGAATTATTCACTGCGTGGGGATCCCCATATGTGCATCTCCTTGCTGGCGCTCCCTTGGTGGTGGGACTCGGTGAGGACGAATCTGGATTTAAGTGTGACTGAGCTGCCTCTCTCTCTGCTCTCTCTGCTCTCTCTGTCTCTCTCTCTCTCTCTGCCCTCTCTCTGTCTCTGCCTCTCTTTCCCTGCCTCTCTCTCTCTCTCTGCCTCTCTCTCTGCCTCTCTCTCCTCTCTCTCTCTCTCTGCCTCTCTCTCTGCCTCTATCTCTGCCTCTCTCTCTCTCTCTCTCTCTCTCTCTCTCTCTATTCTCTCTGCTCTCTCCTCTCTCTCTCACTCTCCCTCTCTCTCTCTCTCGCTCTCTCTTCTCTTCTCTCTCTCTTCTCTCTCTCTCTCTCTCTCTCTTCTCTCTCTCTATCTCTCTCTCTCTCTCTCTTCCCTCGCTCTCTCTCTCTCTCTCTCTCTCTCTCTCTCTCTCTCTTTCGCTCTCTCGCTCTCTCTTGCTCTCTCTCGCTCTCTGTCGCTCTCTCTCGCTCTCTCTCTCTCTCTCGCTCTCACTCGCTCTCTCTCGCTCTCTCTCGCTCTCCCTCGCTCTCTCCCGCTCTCTCTCTCTCTCTCTCTCTGCTCTCTCTCTCTCTCTCGTCTCTCGCTCTCTCTCTCTATCTCTCTCTTCTCTTCTCTTCGCTTCTCTTCTCTCTCTCTCTCTCTTCTCTCTCTCTCTCTCCCCCCCCCTCTCTCTCCACTTCTCTCTCTCTCTCTCTCTCCTCTCTCTCTCTCTTCTATCTCTATCTCTCTCTCTCTCTCTTCTCTCTTCTCTCTCTCTCTCTCTCTCTCTTCTCTCTTCTCTCTTTCTCTCGCCTGTCTCCTCTCTCAACTCCCCCTCTCTCTCTCTCTCCGCTCTCTCTCTCTCTCTCTCCTCTCCCTCTCTCTCGCTCTCTCTCTCTCTCTCTCTCTCTCTCTTCTCTCTCCTCTCTCTCTCTCTATCTTCCTTTCTCTCTCTCTCTCTCTCTCTCTCTCTCTCGCTCGCTCGCTCGCTCGCTCGCTCTCTCTCTCTCTCTCTCTCTCTCTCTCTCGCGCTCGCGCTCGCGCTCGCGCTCGCGCTCGCGCTCGCGCTCGCGCGCTCTCTCTCTCTCTCTCTCTCTCGCTCTCTCCCGCTCTCTCTCTCTCTCTCTCTCTCCTCTCTGCTCTCTTCGCTACTGGCTTCTGACGGAGTCTGGGTTAGGTGAGCCTGAGTGTGGGTGAGTCTGAGTATGGGTACGTCTGTGTGTGCCTGACTCTGAAGAAATGAATCTGAGTGTGAGTGAGCTTGTGTATGAGTGAGTCTGGGTGCGAGTCTGAATCCCAATGGTGCCCCTGGCAGTGTCTGGCGACTAGGAGGCCCGGGTCGACTCCTCTTTGGGAAGCCAAAATGCTGCCCCTGGCAGCGTTTGGTGACTATGAAGCCCCTGGTGGACCCCCCCTGGGGCTCCCAAATGATGCCCCTGGCAGCGTTTTGTGACCATGAGGCTCTCAAGAGATACATGTTGGGGAGGCCAAACGGCAATTCTAGCTGAGGCGTCCCACCAAAATCGGCGCGAACGGGCTCGTGAGATCAGCCAGGGTGGCTCCCCCTTGGGGCTCCCAAATGATGCCCCTGGCAGCGTTTTGTGACCATGAGGCTCTCAAGAGATACATGTTGGGGAGGCCAAACGGCAATTCTAGCTGAGACGTCCCACCAAAATCGGCGCGAACGGGCTCGTGAGATCAGCCAGGGTGGCTCCCCCTTGGGGCTCCCAAATGATGCCCCTGGCAGCGTTTTGTGACCATGAGGCTCTCAAGAGATACATGTTGGGGAGGCCAAACGGCAATTCTAGCTGAGACGTCCCACCAAAATCGGCGCGAACGGGCTCGTGAGATCAGCCAGGGTGGCTCCCCCTTGGGGCTCCCAAATGATGCCCCTGGCAGCGTTTTGTGACCATGAGGCTCTCAAGAGAGACATGTTGGGGAGGCCAAACGGCAATTTTAGCTGAGACGTCCCACCAAAATCGGCGCGAACGGGCTCGTGAGATCAGCCAGGGTGGCTCCCCCTTGGGGCTCCCAAATGATGCCCCTGGCAGCGTTTTGTGACCATGAGGCTCCCTCTATCTTATCTTGTCTTGTCTTATTTGGTGATTATCATTGGGAGGAGGGAGCGCGAGCGGGAGGAAGGAGGAAGGAGTCCGCGCGTGGGAGGCGTCAGAGTAATAACAAGAACCCCAATCCTTAGGATATGGGGAAAAAAAACACGAGTCAACCACAAAATAGCAAATGGGACAACCAACGGGTCGGGCACAATCCTGCGGGCAACCGCGCGGCCGAGGCGCGGAAGAGCAGTCTGTCCGACGTGGCCCCAGCTGCGCCGACAGATCGTCGCCCTTGCGCCATACTGTGAAAGTGAAATGGGGCGGACACCTGCCCAAGTGCTACTGTGCACGCTGCAAACACAATATGCCGAATTTGCCCCGCTCACTCACACCACCGCGGTGCGAATACACCGGCCGGCAGAATCACTGGGCGAGCGAAATTCACCCATCGTGCCACCTCGTCTGCACGACTCCTCGACACGCGCGGATGTGTGTCCGAACAGCCAGACTCGATGCCCCAGCGCCGTACGGCTTGTTCGTCTGCTACTAACTATGAGCGTATGCTGCGACCCTCGAGCTGCTCCTACAGACCCGGGGTCGACTGCGACCGAACGGCTTCTGGCCATGTCCTACTACGCTCCGGTAAACCACTTTCAGCTTGCGATGCTATTGCAACCGGCAGCCAGCAAATGGACTGGACCTCCGACCGCGCATGCAAAGCCGCGATTGCCTGCCAGCGAACAAACTGCAGTTTACGATGCAACTGCAACGAGCAGCCATTAAGTTGGCTATGCCTGCCACCGCGACTGCAGTTATTGGGCCGCTTCATGCGGTAAGGGCCCACCCCAGCACACCGATACCAATATGAGATCACTGTTTGGTAACCCTAATGCGTTTCCTCTTCCCACTCAAGAGATACATAAGTAATCAAATCTCAGTGGTGTGGACGTTCCATGCCCCCCGCTCCTGTGCCCTGCCCAAGGCGCTCCCCCAAGTGCGGTGGCGGATTCGCGCGGCCGCACAACAGGACATCTACTGAGTGCAATCTGCTAAGTCCAACCTACAACATTTCATTTAGCCACAACACGCTACCTACGACCCAACGATGACCTTGACTCGTATGTACGCGGCCACCGTGGCCTCAATACCGCCACCGTGGCCACTGGGGCCCCTGGCACGTTGAGGCGGGATATACTGACAAGTGCTGTCTGGTAGTGTCCTCTAAGGCCCCCCCCCCCGCTCACAGCGCAGTTCTGTATCCACCGTCCCCCCCCCTCCCAAGGCTTCCTGGACGGCCCAACGGCTCCGCGGCCGTTCCAAGGCTCTCCAAGGACCTCCAAGGCGGCGGCCACTACAGGCCACCAAGGGGCCGCCAAGATGGCCTAACACTGCCTCAAGACGCACCAAAGAGACCCCAGGACACTCTCCAGGAGGCCCTCGGGAGGCCAGCAATATGTATATGCTTTACCTATACCACCATCCTTCGGGTGATAAGGACGTTGTTTGGGGAGGGAGAGGGTGGGGAACCAACATCTGGCTCAATCGATCTCACTGTCGATCTCACTCAACGGGACACCACGGGACACCACGGGACACCACGGGTCACTTGTCGATCTCACTATCGATCTCACTATCGATCTCACTCAACGGGACACCACGGGACACCTGTCGATCTCACTATCGATCTCACTTGTTGGGACACCACGGGACACCACGGGGCACCTGGGGACACCACATCGGTCTCAGTATCGATCTCAGTATCGATCTCAGCATCGATCTCACTATCGATCTCACTCAACGGGACACCACGGGACACCACGGGACACCACGGGCCACCGCGGGACACCGCGAGCCACCGCCGGACGGGCGGGCGGGGGAGAATCATTTGTTTTGACTTCGCCCTAGCAAAGGCGGACATCACGGGAAACCACGGGACACCACGGGACACCACGGGGCACCGCGGGACACCACCAGACGGACGGACGGACGGGGGAGAATCATTTGTCTTGACTTCGCCCTAGCAACAGCGGACACCACGGGACACCACGGAACACCGCGGGACACCGCGAGAGACGCCGGACGGACGGACGGACGGGGGAGAATCATTTGTCTTGATTTCACCCTAGCAACGGCGGGTTCATTCCTCTCGCGCGCCCACGCAGCTTCGCCTCGCCAGCACGCACGACACGAACGAAACAAACGGATTTCCCGTCTGGGGGTCTCCGTTCCACTGCGATCTCACCCCCCGACCTCCGACATATGTTGCTCTGATTTACGAAGGCCCAAATGTGCCCATTGATAGTCCAAACTGGGCCTCAGACGGCCCAAGAAGGCCCCAAGGAAGCCTCAAGCCGGCCCAAGTGGGCCTCCGATGGAATCCAGGACGGCGTAAGAGGGCCCCTAGACGGCCGAAGACAGCTCTCAGACGGCCCCAGGAGCTCTCAGACGGCCCCTAGACGGCCAAGTAGGCCTAACTCGGTCCAAGGGAGCCGCAAAGCGGCCCAGGAGGGCCCCCAGAGGCCCGCCAGACGGGCAAGGGACCTGCAAGGCTGCCCCACATGTGCCCAAGACAGCACCACGACGGACCACGTAAGCCCAATGAGAACTTCTCGAGAAGTAAACCGACATATACCCCATGTGACGGCGCTTGGGGCGGTGATGGTGGCGGATTCGCCGCAGGCAGCTGGAGGATTAAAATTACTGAAAATACAGCTGCCTGCTCCTCGTGCTCCCACTGCTGCGACTACTGCTGTTACCCAATTATGACCATCTATCGCTTTGCACGCGTCGTCGAAGGCGTTCACCCGCAAGAGGAAGCCGGTGTACTGCTTGGCCGCAGAGACCACCCATGGATCAAACAAGCGCGCCGCTCCCTGCCGCCTGTCTGGTGCCGTCCTCCTGCTCATCTCTCGTCAGCATACGCTCGGACCCCTGCTCGGCTGCTGCTTCTGCTCCTCCCCCTCCCCCGCACAGCTGCTCATACTGGAGATGGAGGGGGTCGGGGCCACAGTAACGGTAACGTCTGGGCGTGGTGGGGCACGTCGGGGCGAGGGTGCGCTGCGATCGCTGTACATAGTGTGCGCGCGAACACCAGCATGTGGGGGGGGGTCCAGCCCCACCCCCCTACGCACGATCGTTACCGCTACCCGGGGGGCGGGGTGGGGGGGGGTTCGCTTGGATGACGACCGTTAAGCGCCAAAAAATAACACATCAATCTGCTGCTGTCTTCAATCACCGTGCGGTCCTGGTCACCAGCTCGTAATGCTCCTCCTGCGCGTCCTGGTTCCACGGCCTTCCACCGCGACTGCAAGGCAGGACAACTACAGAACCGACAACACCGACACTGACCGAGACCGACAGGGCGCGAACGACCTGGAAGGATGCATCAAAACAACGACGACGCTATAAAGCCGAACCGACGGAGCACAACCGACCGAGCTGGTCGAACACAACTGATCGAACCGCGGCGCAAGCAACCGGATCGAGGACAGCTCAGCTTTTGCAGTGAGGCGTCGAAGTGAAGACGAAGCCAGGACGAGGAGAACATCGGGTGAGGATGAATCGACCATCTCTGAGATCTGGCGGCCCTGGAGGATGTATCGGGCGCCGCGGTCTTCTCAGAATGTTCCGGAACGCTCTGGAACGGATTTATCCTCGTCCTAGCCCCGCAGTGAGCGGCCTCCTGAGCGCCTGAGCGCACGTCACGATGTTAGGAAACACTAAACAACTCCTGCGAAGTCTTCGCAATATCGGTTTAGGCCTATTTGGAGGGCCAGTAATCGGAATGAGACAGGGTTAAGCCCGGGATAGGCTGGATGAGAAGGCGGGCTATTGCTAGTTAGGCCAATGATCAACCACGGTAAAATATTACAGCCAACCCGTATCATAAGGATGCGCGGTAAGGATGCAAGGGCCTTGGAGGGCCATGCCAGTTTTCGAACGAGGTTGGCCAGAGAAGGTCGTCAAGGATGGGTCGAAATGGGCAAGGATGCAATGGTACCCTTGGGAGGGTTGCCCATCCTTAATATGCGGGCTGACTGCACGGCGCCGATTCTGAACATAGGTTTCCAAGAATTGCACCTTCAACGCGGCCCAGAAGGCCACGGGGCCCCAGGACGGTGCGAAACCTGGGGGCACCTTGGGCCAGGAACACATCTGGCAATCTGGCGGCCCCCGCGGCGGATACCCGCATCGACGCCGTGGGTTTTGGTTTCTGTCGCCGCGCGAGCCGCTGGGTCACGAACGATCTCTGCTGCCAGACGGGGGGCGGCAAAGAGAACACACGCACAACGCTGCCGCTGTGCCGCGGCATCCCGGGCAAACGCCGACACGCACCGGGGCAAAGCATGAAGCCAGCGCCGCCTGATTTAACCTAGATGAAAACGGAGACCGCCGCGAATCCACACGCCTCGATGTATGTCTGCACTTCCTCGAACATCACAACCCTGCGGCGCCCATGTTTCCTCGACCTCCACCATCGCTCCTCCATCGCGGTCCCCCATCGCTCCTCCACCTTCACTATGCGAAGGCAAGATGGGGATTCCATTCGGATGGAGACAAATCGCAAATCTCTGAGAGCGGCGGGGCTGGAAAACGAATCGGGCACCGCGACCGTTCTGGAGCGTTCCAGAACGCTGCGAAAACGTCCCAGAATGCTCTGGAACGTTCCATGATCATCGCGCGCCAACACGCACGACTTTCACTTCCCCGACCCCTCGTGTCTCCGCTCCCGTGGGGGGAAATATTGGGCCCCACGGGACGGGAGAGCTAATTGCCCGAGACCCCAGAGCAACCAGCCGCGGGGAGCAACGGCGGGGGGAGCCCGCTAGAGCGCGAAACCTCAGCCCCCCCTGACCTCATCGCGCACGCCGTTTAACGACATCCGCGCCCCCGACCCGCAGAGTCCCGACCGCTGGCCGTCGGGCAGCGATGGGCGCGGGCCCAGCCCAGCGTCTGGGGGTCGGGCAGCGGCCCATGCCCACCGCGCGCCTCGAGGGCCCGTCGCGCGGCACATTGGCGGCGGGCTGCTCTGACCAGTCCAGACTGCAGACGGGCGAGCGAGGGGATGCGCTTGCGCACCTCTTCTGCGGCAAACTCGAGGGGAAGGCGCCACGAACCTCATGCGAATCGAGGCACCCACTCAAGTTCATTCGGGCGCTCGAAGACGCAGGCCGACCCGCCCCCGGGCCGCTTGACGAAAGGCTGGGCTACCTATCCTCGGCGGGTGCGCTGGCCTCGCCGACCGGGCGCCCAGCGGGCCGACGAACCTCGCTCACTGCCGCCAGCCCCGCGCCCCCGTCTGCCGGTAATCGCCGCGGGCCGACTTGCCGCGCTGGCGACCGCCGCGCGCTCGGCCGCCGACCTAACGCGGATTCCACTGGCGGGCGCGCGGCGTCTGACACGTCGCTCGGAGCGCGCTAGCCCCCAGCGCGCATCCACCGGCTGGGCCGAGAACATGCCCCATCCACTGGCTGGCCGCCGTTGCGGGCGCGCTGGCCCTGCGTGCTGGCGCAAACCGCCCTGGGTAATTCTGCCTTTCTTGTTGACAGGCGCGCGCAGCGGAGGGCGCGCTGGCGCCTCGCAGGTTTGCACGCGCGACGACTGCGCGCCAGCTGGGCGCACTGGCGCCCTGCCGACCGCGCCCGCCAGAGCGCGCAACCTCGGCCCCCCTGGCCTCATCGCGCACGCCGTCTAACGACATCTCCGCGCCCCCGAACCGCAGAACGCCCAGCCGCTGGCCTTCGGGCGGCGATTGGCACGGGCCCAGCCCGGCCCCACGTGGGCCGGGCAGCGCCCCATGCCCACCGCGCGCCTCGAGGGCCCGACTCAGGCCTCCGACCCGCCCCCCGGCCGCATGTCCGAAGGCCGCCTGCCATCTGTCTTGTGGGCCGTTATGCGCCATCTGTCCCCGGCGCGCCAGCTCCGCCTTGAACGGGCTTCTCAAGTCGGGGGGCGCGCGCCGAGACCACCCGGGCCCGCGGGCCGCGGCGAGGGGGCGGGGCGCCACGGGGGGGGGAGACCCCCCCCCCCGCCCACTGGTCGCGGCAGACCCCCTTCCCTTGGATACAACTTCCAGCGCGGCTCCAGGATGCCTGCCTTGCCGCGTGCCTGCGCGCGCCCTGCCGAGCCTGGCGGGCGGCGGCCGCTCGCGCGACCCGGCCGCGGGCTGCGCCTAATAGCGGCGCGGGCCAGCGGGCCGCGACAACGCGGCCAGGCTCGCGCGCGCCTCGTCCAGGCCGCGCTTCCGCAGCGGGGCTGAGGGGGGCTGCTCCTTTGCGCCGTCGGTCGGGGTGGCGCAGAAACCGGCTGCGACATCGTTCGCGCTGAGCCTCGCGGCGCCAGAGGCGGGCGCGTCCAACGACCGCTCGACGGTCGCGGCGCCTCAGCCGCCGACTCCTCTGACGACGCGGGCCGAGTCGCGCCGCGCGGCGCCCGGCGGGGCGCGCGGCGGGCGCGGGGCGGCGGCGGCGTCGTGGGCGCTGGCCCGCGGCCGCGGTGCGACGCGGAGACGCAGCAGCTCGGCGAAATGCTGCGTCGCGGCTGCCACTACGGCTGTGCGCCTGCAGCGCGGCCGCCCGAGCGCGGCCTGCCTGTCGCTCGCGTCGACGCGATGAACCCAGCAGCTCGACGACGGTTGCCGCGCCCGCTAAGCCCGGGCGCAGCGCCGCGAGGGCGCGGCGGCGGCGGTCGTCACGCGCCAAGTCCTCCTCGGCGGCCGCCACGGCCGCTGCCCAGGCCCCAGCGTCGACGCGAAATGAGACCTGGAAGCGCGTCTATGCCGCGCTGAGGCTGCAGCGCCGAGTCAGGGCTGCCGCTTCAGCCTGCTTTGCTGCATCTGCGGGCTGGGAGGAGGCGCCCGACGTATCGCTCTCGGTCAAAGCTGAACACCGAGGACCCCCAGCAGGAGCCAGATCGCCCCGTCGATCTCCACGCTGTGGCCTCCATGCTCCAGCGCAGGCGAGTCGTTCTCGAATAGGACCGGGCGGGTTCCGCGAAGCTCGTCGGGGCAGGTGAGGAGCAGGACCAGCGCGACGAGCAGCTCGACCTGGGTGTCGCGCTGTTCTCGTCGATCTTGAGCAGCTCAGCGCAAGGGTGGCGCAGCCACTCGCGCCGAGATGCTGCGGCCGCTGCACCGCAGGGACGGCAGCGCGCCCCTCGAGGCACCAGCGCCGGCGCCCATGTCCCAGGATCCGTCGGCCCACCCGACGGCGACGGGCCACTGGTCGCTGCGCGCGCGCGCCATTGGTATCGGGCAGCGCAATAGCGCCTCCCGCCGCGACAGCGCGCCGGCGAAGCATTCAGACCAGGCGCCCCTGTGCGCGGACACGTTGGAAAAGCGCGCGCGGCCTACGCGGCCGAACGTTGCCGCGGTAGCAAAGCCCGTCTGCCCTCCGAGTCGGCTCGCGTCGCGCTTGCTGCGGCGTCGCGCGCGCTCGCAATGCGGCGTCAATGTCTGCGGTCAGCTCGTCGCGCCGCTTGGCGGTAAGGCGCAGGCCTGCCCAACGCCTGGTGCCTGGTGGAGACAACGTCCAACCCGCTGTCAGTCTCTAGTCTCTGACGTCTTTGAACTGGACTTCGACCATGGAGCGAAATTCCTGGAACACCCACTTGGGTAAGGCGGCCCACATGACCGGGGAGACGCGGTGGAGGTCGTCCAGCCATGGGTACTGCGGCATGCTGAAGATGCGGCGGAACGGGTGGATCACGGTGGATCACGCTGGCGGCGATGCGCGTGTGCCTCCAGACTGCACCGAAAACTCCGACGGGAGAACACATTGTGCGCGAAGGCGCGGAAGCCGCCCGCCGCCCCAACGGCGTCGTCCCAGACCAGGCACACCAGGAAGGGAACGCCGTCTGCATGCAAGGGCCATTGGCGGTAAACCTGCGCGTGGCCCAACTGTTGGAACCATTCCGCGATGCATGCGACCGCGCCGAGGAGGCAGGCGAGGCCTGCAATCCTGATGCGTTCCTGGGTCGCCGCTTCAAGGTTCAGACCGCTTGCCATGGCATCGTCTATGGGCCAGACCTTGTGTGGGGTGGCCGTGCGGTTCCGCAAGCGCGGGGGTGCCGCGATGGCAACCATGTGGCAGACGGCACGTGGAGCGCAGCTGGCCGCTGGCATCGAGCCGTACTTCCCAGGGTCCATCGAGACAGACGTCCAAGGTCCATCGACAGACGGCTGTCTGGCCGTGTCAACTTCAGCTTCTCCCCGACGCGCCCTCCGAGCCAACCACGCGCACCCAGTCCGACCCTACCCAAAACTAGGGCGAACGAAACCTCTTGAGGAGGAGGCGGACATGGACAGATCTGGGGCCCCAGAAGGCCCGAAAACCGCACAACAACAATCTATGCTTGAAATGCCACTCGACTCGAACCGCCCTCGAACCATGATCTCTGTTCGATCGCGTTCCCTGCCGAGATGCTCTGGAACCGAGTTTGCGTCGCACGTTCGCGGGGGCACCTGTAACTGGGCTTGCGGCGTTCGAGTGTACTTCGCGCTAGGTTTGAAGCGGTCGAGGGCAGTTGGAACTGAGTCTAAACGCCCACGTGCGTTTGTGACTGGGTGTTGTGCGACAAGAACGTGTCGGAATACGTTTTCGATTCGAGATTTTAGGACCAGGCTTGGTTTGGTCGGCCCTGAGACTACGTCAAGATTCACCGTCTCCCGAAGTCCAATAAGATCGGCTCCCCAGGAGGCGGAATGCATACATTCCAGCCTTGGACAGCGAATCTAGTAAACCCCAAACATCGTGTTTTGTCCGAGAGGCATCGACCCCCGTTCCCCGGGACCGGCTTTCCATCTCGGGTCGTTCTGCTGACGGTCATGGGGCCCAGTGTACAATCATTGTGCTGCCATAAAGGAGCGCAAATGGAAAAAACGCAGGGGCTTATCTGGCCACGGCGAACCGATACTGACCTAATGAGCGCACCGAAAACCAGAACCCCTCCTGACCCCAAAATGACTCCTTACCCAACGTCTTGACTGTATAAGAACTCCCGAAAAAAAACAACCTTCGCTCGTGACCGTCTCATGGCGCGAGCGGGCCCGGGTCATCAGAGACTCTTCGGCAACTCGCGGAACGCCCATGCCACTCTTGCAAAGGGACGCTGGCCGACGCAATCGACGCTGGCCGACGCTCATCGAAGCTGCATCGACGCGAACCGACGATGCATCGGCGCGCTGCCATCGATTACCAGACGCTGGCGCACTCTGGTACGTTCGAACACGTGGATGCCGAAAACAATCAGGGCGACCAACAGTTGCTACTGGCTCTTCAAGGGGGGCTTTCGGCTTGGCCGCTCGGCTCCCCCGATAAACATCGGCGAGGTTGTAGTCCTTCTCCTCCGCGGCGAAAACCTGGCACGGGGGTATCGCCCGGGGAGCGCGGGCCCGCTTTTCGCGGCCATGCTGTGCGGGCCGGCTGCAGGGGTCACCAAGAAGGCGGGGGATGAGAAAGGGGAGAGAGGATAGAGGGACAGGGCAGGAGGGGCAGCTGGGTCAGAGTGGGGACGAAAGGATAGCTGGGTGATCGGAGGAGGGGGGCTGGGAAAGGGGCGAAGGGGAGGGGCAAAGAAAGAGAGGAAGGAGTGGGAGAGGACGGGGGAGGGTAATACCCGTACATCCGTAATAAGTCCTCCTCTCCCTCGTGCGCTCCCTCCTCCTTTGCATGAATCCCCGACTGCCCCGTCCACTTCTTCCACCACCTTCTGCGCCTTCACTTCCAAAGGAGGCGGGCGCGGCAGACGCAGGTGAGGGAGGGCTAGGAGATGCATGCGGAGTAAGACGACGACCTTCTCCTCCTCCTCGTGCGAATTGAAAAGAACGATGGCAATGAGCATGGAACTCTGCGTTACATTGAGCGGGCGGATGCTCGAATACACCGCCAGATGGCAGTTACAATACTTGAGCCAAACGCCGGCACTTGCACAGTATCATGAGGTCTGGGATCGAAACGCCCCCCTCGATCTGGTATCCCAAGTCCGGCAAACTACGAACCACCTTGTAAACCAAATGCCTTGCAGCAAACGGTTTCAGCGAATGAAAGGCTTCGAAACCGAACAATGCACGGCATGTGGTAAGCAAGCACGACGTGGCTGACAAACCTATGAAAAATTTGCTCGAAACATGGCGGGATCTCCGCTCTATTCGAAATCCCACTGGAGCACGTACTTGCAACATTCCTGGTCAAACTCGCGACGGACCTGAGACAGGATAGAGGTCTGAAAATGTCCGACCGTTTGGTGTCACTCAAGCGTTTCGCGGGTACGTGGGGAGCTCCACCGAAGGCGGTTCTCATCTACGGCGGCGCTCACACATGTCCTTCGCCCGGAAAATTTAGCCACGCGGGGGTCTCCCAGTGGCTTTCGGGCGAATCATGGCGGTTCACGCTAACTTCGCGGCAGCCGGGATCCATTTCTGGCCGTGGCTGCTGTAGGTTCTATCCCACCGCTATAATCTGTCCCACTTAATTGGCGCACGTGGCGCAGTTGGGTGAGCCGTGCCCTGTCTGACAGCAGCGGCAGTCCCGCTCGCTCGTGGGCGCGCGCCCTCCACCGCGGGTCTTCTCCCCTGTCATGCGCGCTGCTGTGCCTGATCCCTTGCGCCCTCCGTCGTTTCCTTCGGGTGCCGTTTGATCCTCGCGCGTGCTCTTTGCCTTCGGGCCGTTGCTGCCATCGCAGTTGGCGTCGCTGTCCGAGGCCACGCGGCCTGGCCGGGCACGCTGCACATATGATTTAATCTTCCTCTGCCTTTATTGACAGCGTCAACGCGTTTCTCTCCCCCAAGTTTGGTTTGAATACCAGACGCTAAAACCTTCGTCTTCCACGGGCCACCAATTGCTTTCATCATGGTAATATCCCTGGGAACGTGCTTCGCGCGTGCCAGACGCTTCCCGGCCGTCATCGTTGCTTGCGCTATTGTTCATGTCATCGTCCTACCGTCCTTGAGTGCCAAATCTTCGCACCTCAAGTACAGCTTCTGAGTCTCGGAAGTGACCGAATCGGGCGCGTTGAAGCAGTCCCGCTGCCAATCGTCGAACCATTATCACGCATGTACCGCGAAAGCATAGCATGACTGGCAATTTTTCAAATTTCTCCCCCAATGAGGTCAACTGCTCGGACTGACTTGCGACGTGACTCTCACCTTGTCCTACCGTGGCGGATCTCATGTCGGCTGATGAGGTCACTCCCGCTACCGCAAAGTCCCTCTCGTTTACATAGATACTACTTTTAAATATACATACATATATATATATTTATGTATTATAAATATATATACAGGTGCATATATCTTTACGAGCTCATGTCAATGAACATGCGCAATTTTCGTCTATTCTGGCGATCTCACCCTCGTCCAGGATGTCAACTTCTTCCCATGGGTCTTTACCTCTTTGTTTCTCAAGGCCAGAGCCATTGTATCCTGCGGCTGTCATGCGTCCGCTGAGCATCCTGCTTTCGTCCCCTTCCCCACTGGGGTCGGGACAATTCCATCCATACTTTTCAGTTTCGAATTTAACATGTTGGGTGCGTTGGGGTTCCCATAACTGACCTGGGCCAGGGCGTTGGGCAACCGCTCAGTCCATTCACACATTTTCGTCCTGTTACCGTTAAATTGTTCAACGAGTGGATGGTAGGGGACTCGCTTACGGGTCTCTGTCGATCTTGTCTGCCATCTGAGCTAATCCGGCTTTCGTGTTCACTCGATCTTGCCACTTCTGTGTCAGTCTCGTTTCTGCTATCTCGGTTGGTTATGCTCAGCAGTGCCTCATTGGACTTGCCGGTCGTGTTCATCACTGGCATCGCTTGCTGGGTGGACAGTTCCTGGTTTCCTCGGCGTTCTTGCTCGTCCAGGAAATTCGTCATAGCATCGCCGTTAGCCTGTAATGTAGCTTTGACGACTTCTGATCGCCTTGCTGGTTGGCTGCCAGACACGTGACTCCGATGCTAGCTAGGCTGTACTCAATGCATTCCTGCCTTGCTGTAGGTATACTAGCTCCTGATCTCGCTGCCACATCTCGCGACCCTGCAAATTTGACACCACGAGGATTGAATGCTGTCTTACAGTGAGCTGTGTCACGCCGCTGGATGGCGGTTACAATACTTGAACCACACGCTAGTAGATGCACAGTCGCATGGGGTCCGATATCGAAACGCCTCGTCCCCCACCTCCTCCTCCTTCTACTCCTCCTTCGCGGCAGCCTCGATCGCGTCCTCGAACGCCGCCTTCGCGCCGGGCATGTCGCCCTAAATGGAAGGTGCGGGGAAGGCGCGGGCGGGGTCACGCCTGCCTTTGAACACCGTCCCGTCCCGTCCAGCTGCTGCTGCTCCTGCAGCTGCTGCTTTTCCTCCTCCTCCTCTTCCTCTGTCATGCTGGCTACTCCTGAACATTTTGATCCTCATTCTTCTCATCATCCTCATCCTCATGCTTCCCACAAGCTGTCTCATCCACAACCTCCTCAAACTCCTCATACTCCACATCCTCTCCTCCTCCTCCTCCTCCTCCTCCTCCTCCTCCTCCCATATGCTGGATGTCTTGTGCGCCGCCCATCCGCGTGCGGCCCCCCGGCAGACCTCTGGCAGCGCCGCCCGTCGGGCTCGGGCGCGCAAGGTGGCCATCCGGCATGCGCAAGTGCAGGCGCTGGCCGTGAGCCGCCTGCTGGGGTGCAGTACCCCGCCCGGACTCGACCTCGGCTTCGAGAACACGCGCTTCGCGGACACCGCGTACGGCCTCGAGCTGCCGATCGAGCAGGCACTCGATACGGACGCCCAGTACGATCTAGTGCTGGACACGCTCGGGATCGCGCCGTCCGTGCCGACGACCGCCCCGCTCCACAGGGGCGACGAGGAGGAGGACACCAACTTCCTCACCACGGAGGCGCCGAATATGCCGCCTGTCGTCGAGGACTACACCATCACCAAGCGCGGGACCCTGCAGGAGGACCAGATCACCGCGAACGCCGAGGATGGAGACCTCGAGCCCTCGACCAGGGAGGCGCCCTACGTTCCATCTTTCGTCGAGAACTACGGCTTCATCATGCGAGACACCCTGCAGGAGGAAAAACTCAAGGACGCCTTCGAGGACGGAGGCAACCACGCCTCTAACAAGGAGGCGCAGTGCGTGCCGCCGAACATCGAGAACTACGGCTCCACCACGGAGACCACCATGAGCAACACCCTGCAGGAGAAGAAGCGTCCAGAGGACAGGGACATCGACTTCCTGGCCATGGAGGCGCCGCACGTGCTGCAGAGCGGTGAGACAGACGGCAGCACCATGCGCGCAACCCTGCAGGAGGAGAAGCTCATTGATACTGTCGAGGAGAAGAAACTCTTCGAGAATCAGAACGACGTTGAGGAGGAGGAGGCTGGAGGCACGCAGGCAGAGTCTACACTTGCAATTGTCATATGCTGGAGCTACAACGGGAACCGGCAGAGCGTGAACGACAAAAGCCAGCACGATAAGATCGAAACGAAAAACTTGGAGTACCTCCTCGACAGCAGCCAACACGTCGCGAAGGTCGACATGCTCGACGCGCGCCTCGTTATCAATTTCAAGACTGGGTACTTCAGACCAGCAGGGAGCCGCGGTATATCAGAGCGTCGTGACATCAGAAGGCAGATCATCAGCTCTGCCAGGTAGTGAACACCAGTAGCCTATGCACCCTCTTCCGAATGGGCCGCCGCGGCTGTAGTAGGCAGTGTGCTCTGGTATTGTTGCTCGCATATGCTGAGCTCTTCTCTGTTGTGTGCACGCCTTGCTTGTTGCATGTGACATCTGAGCTCGTACATGAAGATATGGAGATTGCCCTGCCAGTTGCCCCGCCGCCGCCCTCTCACGGAAGAGGCCAGGCGGGGAGCTTCGTGAAGAGCTGTCAGGATGTAACAGCAGCTTGAAGGCTGCCCCCGTCTTTCCCTGCCCATCCCTGCCGTCCTGCTCCTCAATGTTGGGGCGGAGATGCAGGGCGATTGAAGGAGAGCGGATGTAACCCCAAGGTTAAGGTTTGGGTCGGGTCGGCCGAACCTTAGCCTTCCCCCCCCGTGGCATGTGATGGTCCTCCTCCTCCTCCCTCTCACATTGCCTCGGCGTGTCCTCCGCAGCCTTTTCGCATTGCCACGCCTCCTGCTCTGTCCAGGTGTGAACGAGCGGGCCCGTTGGGGCTGTTGTCTTCCACCTACACGCCGGTCGGACGAAGTAGGTAAAAACATGACGTAGGAAGGCGAATCAAGTTGATTTGGTTCAGGACCTCCCAGAGAATAACAAACCACTTGAAGTAGGAAGGCACTTGAAGTAGATAGGGATCTGGAAAACCAGAAATTCCTACTTTCAACGACTGGCGCGTACTCCTTCACATTCCGCTCTTCCTCCTCCAGCTCTTCCTCGGCCTGCTCCTGCTCCTCCTTTGTTCGTCACTCCTCGCCTGTGCCCCGCCCTGCTCAGCTGTTCTTCTCCCCCACACCTCCGACACTCCGCTTCCCATGCCCTCCCTGCCGCATCTCCCCGCGTGCTCCTCCTCCTCCTCCTCCTCCTCCTCCTCCTCCTCCTCCTCCTCCTCCTCCTCTCTCTCCTCATCCTCCCCTTCCTCCTCCTCCTCGTCCTCCTCGTCAACATCATCAGAAGTATCCGCATGATCCTCCTCACCACCATCCCCCTCATCACCACGACCACCAACATCCCCACCATCACCATCATCACATTACCAATGTTCTTACTCATCGTCCCCCCCATCATTATCCCACAACATCATTACGTCCAAGCTCATACCCCGCCAGTGGCCTGCTGGCCAAGCTGCAAACTGTTGGACGGTAACGTACAGCTTGTTCGTCCTCCTCCTCCAGCTCCAATTCCTCCTCGCCACTTGCACCAACACGCCACTACCACCGCCACCACCACGATCAGCATCATCATCATCCGCATCATCATCATCATCGTCATAATCCTCATCATCATAATCAGCATAATCATCATCGTCATTATCATCAGTAGCAACATCATCGTCATCACAAACACCACCTTCATCACAATCATCATCATCAGTATCCGCAGCATCACCACCATCATTATGATCACCATCATCAGCATCATCATGACAAGTATCACCATCATTCTCAGCAGCAGCATCATCATCACCATCATCATCATCATCATCATATCATCGTGGTCGTCGTCGTTTTCGTAGTCGTCGCCATCATCAACACCATCAGCACCATCACCACCACCATCACTATCACCACCACCATCACCATCACCATCATCATCAGCATCATCATCAGCATCACCATTATCAGCAGCATCATCATCAGCATCGTCGTCACCATCATCACCATCACCATCACCATCAGCATCATCAACATCATCATCATCGACATCAGTTCCTTCATTATCATCGTCATCACAACCTCTCTCATCCTCCCAAAGCCACTCCCTTGCGTCCTTCCCCTAGCAAGGATTAGGTCCAGCAGTAGCGACCACAGGCGGTCCACCGCTATATCGCGCGAAGAAGCGCAATCCCACAAAAAAAAACAACTTTAAGCCAAAACCTGCGAAACTCTCAGAAACCAAACAAACTTCGAAAAACTGAAAAGCCCAAACAAGCGAACGTCTCAACTCCAAAAAGAACGTCAAACATTACCTAAGCCAAAACCTGGGAAGCTCTCAAACCCCAAACACACTTCAACAATTGTTCAAGCCACATCGTGAGAAAGTCGTTAACAACAACAACAAATCTCTAAGCCGAAACCTGGGGAACAAAACTTTCACCCAACACCAACTTGAAACCGAACATCTACAACAACTATAGAACAGCTACTGTTTTAACCCGAATCACTTAATAACGATTACACAACTAGGAAAACTCTGAGACAACTCTAAACGCCTGCAAACTTTTGAAAAGCTCGAAACCTCGAACAACACTCTGAAATCCTCTGGCATGCTTTAACTAATGTCTGGCCGTCTGACAATCTCTAAACACACTCCGAGAACAAAAAACACTGTGAAACTTGAAGCAGGCCTAGACATTTCTATAGCAACAGTCCGGCCACCTTTCAAAGTTTTCAAGCGCGCATATGTTTATCGACTTCTCTGCTTCAAGTTGTTTCTGGAGTCTCGGTTAAACTGTGTTTTTGATTTGAGATGTTCCCAGGTTGTGGCTTGGATTTGGTTTGATGATTGTTGAATGAGCTTTTGCATTGTTGTGGGGTTCGAGATTTGTTTGTGTGGGGGGGCGAGTTTATGTTGAAGCTGTCCTTGTGATGTTGGCAAGCTTTCTCGGTGGACCTCCTGTAGCAGAATTGCCGAACCTAATGCTAGCATGGACACTGCAAGGTCACGAAACATCTGTGAGAGCGAAATACGGGAGGCCGAGGTCGCAGACGCTCGGGACGGCTCTGAGGATGCTCTGGAACGAATGATGCCTCAGCAGCCTCCTCGCTCCCTTCCGCGTACCTCGATCCTGAACTCCACACGCGCCATTCCTCCTCAGCTGCCCCCGTATTGGTCTCGTCCCTACATCCATCTCCCTCTCTGCCCCCTTTCGACTCGAGAGGGCAGGGAGGAGGGGTAAAACCCCTCAAAGGGGTTGGAAGAGGAGCCTGCCTAGACCACCTACGCCCAGAGGGCTGCTGGGAAGTCGGGCCTCTGGCGGGCGTTCGGGACGATCCAGGCACCCCCAGGCCGTTCTCGACGAGGCGCAGCCGCTGGAAACCACCCCGAGGCTGGCATGCCGTCGATGCCCGAAAACCTCGAACCTCGATTCCAACAACGCCTTCCCCTTCTGATGTCGCACCTGGCTGTGCCCCGAGGACCCTCCTTAAAAAACCCGAACGCCTCTGACACCTCACACAAAAGCCCTCTCAGACCTCCCGAACACCTTCAAAACTTCGCAGCGATGCGGGGAGGAAACCCCTCCTCCTTCTCGCGCTGCGCGGCCAGCTTCAAGAGCAGCCCGGCGGCCACCTCCCCCTTGCCGGCCAGGCGGAAGCAGCGGACCGCCTTCTCCCACAGGCCCTCCGGGGCGCCTCATCGGTGAGGGAGTGGGAGGATGAGGCGGAGTGGGAAGGTATGGAGAAGGGGGAAGAGCGGAAGGAAGGGTGAGAGGAAGGAAAGGGAGGTCGGGGGAAGGCTGAGGACTGTGAGGGGGCAGGAACAGGATTGGGATCAGGAGAGGGACCAGGTGGACCCCACGATGTCTCAACGATGCTGCAGTACACCCTCCCGTCCCAGGTTCGGTGGCGACGACAAGGGCGAATAGCCCAGGGGCGGGCATTACACGTATTCGCCCAGGAGCCTTGTCGAAAACATAGATTCTCGGCGCCCCCAGATACATGTATTGCTCTCCCCTGGGCTATTCGCCCGTACCGTCGCCTCTGACAGGTGCCCCTCCGTGCAAACCCCTGCAAACAGTTTTCTTCCACGGCGCGGAACGCCCCTCTGAAAGACGAACGCCCCGTGGGCACTCCATTCAAGCGGGAGCTCCGTTTCAAGAGGCCGCCTAGATAGGGCACATTGATCATGCGACATTGTTTGTCCGTGGCTGGTTCCCCGAAGGCCATGTCTGTATTCTTCTGTAACGACGGCAGAAGAGCGGTTTCATGGGAGTCGGAATTAAAGACATGGACCCCGCAGTAAATAGTGTTGCTTTTCGGCACTAGCGATCTCCTGTTTCAACCTGCTCGCGCGCCGCGTTCCTGGATGGGGTCCGAGTAGATAGGGCCCGAGGATCGCACCGCACCGCCGATGCACCGCCGCTGCATCGGCGATGCATCGGCGACGTCGGCGGAGCTTCGGCGACGCCAGCACGGAGAACATCGGGATCCACATCCAGACGCCTCGGCGGTCCGTCGGCGATGCGGCGCGATCCTCCGACCCCCTCCGCTCCGACCCCCTGCAGGAGGCCCCGAGGGGCGAAGGGAAAAGTGGGAGTGGGTGTGCACGGCTGGTGGCGGAGCGGGCGCGCGGCCCCGGGGGCGCCGGGCGCGGCAGGAGCCCCTTCCTGCAGGGCGGGCAGCGTCGGCCTCGAGTCGGCTTCGCGTCGCCGAGGCTCGGCGAGGCGCCGCCCCCGTGCGCTCCCGGGCCGGGCGGGCCGCCGGGCCCCCGCCGGCGGCGACTTGGCGATTCGGGGTCGACGCGTCCCCCCCCCCCCCGTAAGCTTAGGGCGGGCGTGTCCCCCTGCAGGGGGACCTTGGGCGAAAAATCAAAAGCTAGTCAAAAAGTACCCACCAAATATTCAAAAACTGTCAGAAAATCGTCCCCTGACTAATTCCTGACCGTTGTTGAGTATTCCCCCTGTAAAAGGACACGCCCGACTTGACCGTGAGCTCATCCCTCCCGAACGCTGCCCTTGACCCTCCTCCTCCTCCTCCTCCTCCTCCTCGTCCTCGTGGCACAGACACCACTGGGCAGGGAGGAGGGAACACAAAGATGCGGCGCGGGCAACCCGTGCGGCCGCCGGGGCGCACCGCCACCCTGACATGGCCCGGAGAGGTGGCGGAGGGGGGACGACGAGGAGGGCGGGAGGGAGGGAGGGAGGAGGGAGGGAGGGAGGGAAAGGGGGACGAGGAGGGAGGAGGAGGGGGGACGAGGCAGGGAGGAGGGGGAGAAGTGGCGCAGGGGGGGTGACGAGGAGGCAGGGAGGGAGGGAGGGAGAGGGGAGGGAAGGAGGGGAACGGGAGGGAGGAGGGAGCTTCAGATTCCAATCTCAGGGCCACCCGACACGGCCGAGAGAAGTGGCGGACGGGGGACGACGAGGAGGGAGGGAGGGAGAGGGGAGGGGAGAAGGGGAAGGGGAGGGAGGAAGGAGTTTCAGATTCCAACTTCGGGGGCGATTGGGCAGCCGCGGGCTCACCACCGGGAGGAAAGAGAACGCACATCTTTGTTAGTGGGCCACGCGCCGCTTCGCAATCCAAGTCAACCCTCACACGGTCGCCATGCATTTCCCGGCGTCGCCGAAACGACATTCCGATGGACCGGGCCATGGATGGGGTGGGGAGGATGAAGGATGATGAATAGGAGGAGGGGGAGGCGGACAAAAGGAGGGAGCTTTGCTGCACACTGCTACGATACCGCGCACGTGGCCGCTACTAGGGAGGGAAAGGGAAAAGAAAAGCACGATGACCAAAAAACCAAAGACGGAACGGATTGCAGCTACTTCCCAACCATCCTGTCGTGTCCGGTCTTCTTTTATGAGACAACCCCCGCGTCTCGTCCCCGTTCCCCCATCCCCCGAATGTAAATCATTCCAGCGCACCCCTCACACGTCTCGTGGCCCCAAAGGAAACTCCACCAACGGCCACAATGACAGCGCCCGTGTGGCCCCGCCACGCATATTTCGGCAAACCCTTGACACGTTCTGTGGCCCCAAAATAGTTCCACCGAAGGCCCCAGTGCCAGCGCACACGTGGCGCACTCGCACCCATGTCGGCACAACCGCCGCGCTCTTCGTGGCCCCATACGACGCCCCATCGGTGCCACATGAGCAGCGCCCGCGCGGCGCCACCGCAAACTTTTCGGCAACCCATCACGCGCTTCGTAGCCCTATTGGGATATCCACGTAAGGCCCCAGTGGCAACGCCCGCATGGCACCGCCAAACATATTTGGGCACATCATTGACACGCTTCGCGGCCCCATTGGGAGCTACAACCGCGCGGCACCGCCACAACCTTGCAACCGCGGCAACCACAGCTTTATGAGGCCGAGCGCTTCGACATGTTAGTGCGAACAACGGCAACATCAATGAAGCAATGGAACGACATTACGCGCAACCGAACTTCTCCGACGGAGGGTGTCCAACGCGATAACCTTCTGGGTGAATCTGGAAATAAGCCCCGTCGTCGTTCCTGATATGTTTGGGGACCTTTTCCTATCGCTTCTGCGCCATTATGATTATCACTCTGGCGCAAACCCTTATCCTCGCCCTTTGCCCCCTTCCGCCACCGCCCACGCTGCTCTTGCAATGGCGCACGGGTCGGTCCTCCCTGGCGTGGTCGCCGCTTCGGTTGGCAAGGGCGCGTCCTCCGATGACTACATCGCGAAGCCGTCGAGACAAACTCGTGAACCGCGCCGCCGGGACAAGCACGCGGGCCGCCGGCGCACGAGATCAAACCGCAACGACAAACCCGCGGGTTTCGGGCAGGGCGCGGCTACGCTCAGGCGGGAGGCAGCGCGAAACCGAACTCTGCGGCGAGCTTTTCGGCATCAGCCTGGGACGGCCGATTTCTCGTTGAACTCCCCGAGCGCCTTCCGCAAGGGCACTGGCGCTCCACGCTCCGAAATCTCGCGCGAAGGCGGCCGCGGGATCAGCATGCTCCGCGCGCCCGCGGCGCGGGAGAACATGACGTAGAAGAGCAGCCACCGCTGATCGTCCGACGCTTCCGTGCGGCCAACGTCCTCATCCCTGGCGCATTCGATGGCGACGCCTTTGCGCAGCATCTGGCCCAGTGACAGCGTGAATGTGAAGTAGAACGCGTGCGTCAGGGTGAACCCCGAGCGGCGCACGGCGTGCAGCCCCGAGCTCTGTCACGTGAGCTCCTGTTCGCTGAGCCTGAACATGAACAAACTCCGCGCCCGCGCCTCGGCCTGGTTGTCGTCACCAGAACCTTCGGCACCCGGTAGCAGCAGCTCGGCTCGATGAAGCCGCGCACATGCATCCATATTCCCTGCGGTACTGATCGGGGGCGAAGGAGCTCGCCTGACGCGAACGCCTCGTACCGCAGACGATCTGCGGACCTCATAGGAAGGTGGGCCCCATCTCGAAAATCCCTTACCATCCACTCTGAGAAGAAGCTTCCTTAGACTTCCTCCACTTCTTCGCTTCAGAAACCCAATCATGACGACTGATACAAGCTCTGGATGACCAGCTCGGATTAAAGGCGTGATCTGCCGGCCCCGTACGGAGGGGGGTCCAGCCGGAGACTTCTTCACAACCCATGAAAAAACGAGGCTCCCGGTCGAGACCGATCCAGCTCCACGCGTCATGAGCTCAGAGGAAGGCTGTCACAGAATCTGGATAGCCCGTTCGGATTACTAACATGGTCTGGCGGACCCATGGGGAGGGGGCTTCCGCCAGAGACTCCCTCGCATTGCACTCACAGACGCGTCTCCTGCTCGAGTCTTTTTCGAGATTTACGCTTCAAGAACCCAACATAATTACAGGATGTGGATGACTTGGACGGCGCACTGGCATGAGCTGCCGGCCCTGCAGGGAAGGAACTCCCGCCTGAGATTGCCACACAATTTACTCACAGAGGCTCCCGCTCGAGACATGCTTCAAATCCACGCCTCATCAGCTCAAAGGCATGGCGGTTACAGGATCTGGATAACCCACACAGATTACTAGCATGGTCTGGCAGCCATATAGGGAGGGGGCTCCCGCCTGAGACTGCCTCGCACTTCACTCAGAGACCAGTCTCCCGCTCGAGACCTGCCCCAGATCCACGCCCCAGGAGCCCCAAAAAGACAACAACTACAGGATATGGATAACCCGCACGGGTTGCTGACATGACCTCTCGGCCCTATAGGAAAGGGGCTCCCGCCTGAAACGTCCTCAACATGACCTCACACACGAGGCTCCCGCTCGAGTCCTCCTCCAGATGCACGCCTCTCAAGAGCCCAAAAGGGACGACAAATACAATCTCTCGATGACCCGCTCGAAGTTTGAACACAACTTGCTGGCGCCATAGGGCAGGGACTCTCGCCCGAGACATCCTCGCACTTCACCCGCAGACGAGGCTCCCGATCGGGACCTCCTCCAGATCCGCGCCGCAGGAGCCACAAAGTAACGACTGATGCATTATCTGGAGAACCAGCACGGAGTACTCACATGATCAGCAGTCCCTGTAGGGAGGTGGCTCCCGCCTGAGACTTCCTCAAGTTTTACTAACAAACAAAGCTCCCGCTCGAGACCTGCCCCTGATTCTCGCCTCAGGAGACCGAAAGCGACGACAGCTAAAGGATCTGGATAAACCGCACGGATGACTAACATGATCGGTCGGTCTTACAGGAAGGGGGCTCCCGCTCGAGAGGTCCTCAAAATCAACTGACAGACAGGGTTCCCGCTCGAGACTTCCTCCAGATCCACGCCGCAGGAGCCCAAGAGCGACGACAACTACAGGATCTGGATGACCCACCCGAATTCCTAACATGACCTGCCGGCGCCATGGTGAGGGGGCTCCCGCCTGAGACTTCCTCACTTTACTCACAGGCGAGGCTCCCCATCGAGACTTCCGAAAAGTGAATGTGTGGGCGTGTGAGTGCGAGTGAGCGCGTGAGAATGTGTGAAATGGAGATAATGATGGTGATGATGATGATGCTGATGATCCTGATAATGAAAATGATAACAACAACGATGATGATGTTGATGATGCTGATTATGATGATGATGATGATGTTGATGATGCTGATGCCGATGATGCTGACGATGAAGATGAGTTTGGGGCCTGTTCTTCCTGATGTTCCTGTTTGGTGTACAGAGAACTCGAGGAACACATGCGAGGAACAAATGCGGCCTGCGCCCTGCCCGAGAGCGCCCGCGCTCTCGTAGGCGCGCCCAGCGCCGAAGAGGTCGCCCAGCTCCTCCTGAAGGTACGGCGTCGGGAGTTGCCAAGGGTGCTACCCTTCGTGTTCCTCCTCCACCTCCTCCTCGTCCTCCTCCTCCTCCACCTCCTCCTCCTCCTCCTGTTCCTGCTCAAACGCATCCTCTTCCTGTTTCTCCTGTTCCTCCTTCTCGCCCTTCTCCTCAACCTTCTCGTCCTGTGGTCCTCTTGCTCGTGCTCGGTTTCCTTCTCTGTAGCGTCATTGCTGCTGCTCTCATCATCCGTCCCATCATCCTCATCATCATCATCATCATCATCATCATCATCAGCAGCATCATCATCATCAGCATCAGCATCAACAGCAGCAACAGCAGCATCATCATCAGCACAAGCAACAGCATCACCATTGATCATCAGAAACACCACCATCATCAGAATCGTCATCAACAACATCAGCAATCACATACTCGTCATTATCACAACCCCCATAACAACCCTCGTCAACATCACCATGATCAGCTTCATCTTCATCATGAGCAGAACTACCAAAATCACCATCTGCGTCGTCGGTGTCGCCATCGTCACTACCATGGGAACCGTCACCATCATCATACCAGTCGTGGCCGTCGTCGGTGTCACCATGGCCCTCGTCATGAGAACAACCACCAACATCCGAACGACCATCAAGGATTCGTCCTCTTCATCAACAACATCATCGTCAACAACATCGTCCGCATCGCCTTCAACATACCGTCATCAACATCCTCACCAACCACATCATCAACAACCACATTCGGTATCGGCATCATAACCATTATCATAAGCTGTACGGTCATTATCAGAATCGATATCGTCAGTCTGCTGGTTGCCGTACCCATTAGAATTATCATCTGCATAAACATCAACCTCAGCACTATCATCGCCACCAACACCACCACCATCACCACCAACCCCATCACAACCACCATCTCCAGCATAATACTTGTTGACATCGACACCGTCATCGTAGTCATCATCGGCATCATCATCAACATCAACATCATCACCAACATCATCGCCGCCATCGTGAGCATCATCATAACCAGCATCAACACCGTCAGCACCATCAACACCATCACCAGCATCAACACCGTCAGCATCATCATAACCTGCATCAGCAGCATCGGCACCCGCATCATCATCATCACCAGCAGCATCAGCACATCGTGAGCACATTCATCATCACCAGCATCTGCGCCATCGTCATCACCATCATCGTCCTCATCAGCCATATCATCACACTCATCTTCGACTAAGTCTTCAGCTTCATCATCATTCAACGATTAATTGTCCATCTTCAACCTGGTACGGTTGCTCGGCAATCGCGTGAGCAACACCTTCTCCTCCCCTCCTCCAACTCTTCCTCCTCCTCCTCTTCCTCTTCTTCCTCTTCCTCCACCTCCTCCGACTCCTTCTCCACCTCCCCCGCCTCATCCTCGAACTCCTCCTCCTCTTCCTACTCCTCCTCCTCCGCCTCCGCCTCCGCCTCCGCCTCCGCCTCCGCCTCCTCCTCCGCCTACGGTTGCGAAGCTATGTTAGCGTGTACGTCGGAACAAAATCTTATACACGCTAAGCGCTTGTGCGCTTAGCGTGTAAATCAAACTTAGCGTGTAACGGGCCTCCGCTTAGCGTGTACCCAGTTCGATCTGGTATCGTCGCCGGGCCCGTGCTGCAATATTACGCTTAGCGTGTATAAGAAGAGATCCTCCCCTGGTCCCCACCCATCCGCCCTGCTCCCCCTCCTCCTTCCCTCCCTGTACGTCGGATGCCGCCCAGTCGGCGGGGCCCCCTTCGCCGCCGCGGCTGGACGCGGCTCGGAAGACTGGTGCGTTGAAATCGGTCGCGGGATCTTCGAATCTTCCGAAACGGGGTTCCCGCCTGAGACATCCTCGAACAATGGACAGTTGAAGAGGTGTCTGAAGACCTCTCATGCTAAAAATGAGCGTTTCGCCTGAGACATCTTCAGACAATGAAAATATTGGAATCGCTGGCGAAACCTTCGGATCTTCGTGCCCCACAGGCCATAGCCCACGGGGCCCAAAGGCAATAGCCCACTTAGCGTGTACGTGGCCGCCCCGCCCCCGGCCCCTTTCGACGCACCCCTCACACGATTCGTGGCCGCCCCGCCCATGTCGGCGCACCCGCCCAGGAGGGAGGAGGAGGGAGGAAGGAGGAGGAGGGAGGAAGGAGGAGCTTAGCACGTATAGAAGTCGCCCTCACAAAGTAGGGCTCTCGCCTTGGCGCCGCCGCTGATACCGCTTAGCGTGTAGAATGTTTGGTCCGGGTGTCGTCCGAACATCAAGCGCTTAGCGTGTATAGAATTCGCCCTCCCACAAACGCCGGGTCCGGGTCTGGCCCCGCCAAAACGCTTAGCGTGTCACTGGCCACGCCCAGAGGTCAAAAAGCTAACGGGGTACACGCTAAACATAGCCTCGCAACCGTACGCCTGCGCCTGCGCCTGCGCCTCCGCCGCCTCTGCCTCCTCCGTTTCCTCCTCTTCCTCCTATTCATCCTCTTCCTCCTCTTCCTCCACTTCCTCCTCTTCCTCTTCCTCCGCTTCCTCCTCTTCCTCCCCTTCCTCCTCTTCCTCCTCTTCATCCTCTTCCTCCTCCTCCTCCTCCTCCTCCTCCTCCTCCTCCACCCCTTCCTCTTCTTCCTCCTCTTCATCCTCTTCCTCCTCCTCCTCCTCCCCTTCCCCCTCCCCTTCTTTCCCCTCCTCATCCTCCTCCCCCCCTCCTACTTCTCCTCGTCCTCCCCTTCCTCTCGCTTGCTCCTCCTCAGCCTCCGCCTCCTCCTCCTTCTCCTCCTCCTCCTCCTCCCCTCCTCCTCCTCCTCCTCCTCCCTCCTCCCTCCTCCCCCTCCTCCTCCCCCTCCTCCTCCTCATCCTCCTCCCCTCCTCCTCCTCCTCCCTCCTCCTCCTCCTCTTGAACTGCTCCTCCTCCCCCTCCTCCTCCTCCTCCTCCTCTTCCTCCTCTCCGCCTCCCTTAACCCCTCCTCTCCTCCTCCTCCTCCTCCTCCTCCTCCTCCTCCTCCTCCTCCTCCTCCTCCTCCTCGCTCCTCTTCCTTTTCCTCCTCCTCCTCCTGACGTTCCTCCTCCTACTCCTCCTCCTTTTCATCACTCATCATCCTCCTCCCCTCCCTCCCACTCCTCCTCGTCTTCCTCCTCCTCCTCCTCGGATTATTTCGCCTCCTCCGCTTTCTCCTCCGCCCCCACCCCCGCCTCCGCCTGCGCCTCCGCCTCCGCTTCCGCCTCCGCCTCTGCCGCCGCCTCCGTCTCCGCCTCCGCCTACGGCTGCGCCTCCGCCTCCTCTCTGCCTGAAAACGTCCAGCGATGCCAAAGACGCTCTTGGGGCCAGACACGGGCCTCCGCGACATTCCTGGGGGAATCTCGGTCGGGCCAGGGACACCTCTGACATTCCCCGGCTGAGGGGGGAGAGGAAGACGACAGGCCAGCCCATTGAAATTGATCGAGAGGCCCCCCGCCCCCTCCTGCTCCCTCTCATCCGCATCCTCCTCCTCCTTTTCCCCCGCCTCCTCCTCCAACTCCTCCTCCTCCTCCTCCACCTCCTCCTCATCCTCCTCCTCCTCCTCGTCCTCGTCCTTTTCCTTCTCCTCCTCCTCCTCCTCCAACCCGGCCGGGGGTCCGCGCCTAACAAAACATTAGCCTGGCGAAGGACCCAACCATATGCAGCTGTGAATACCGCAACTGTGAATACCATCTTTGCCCGCGCTCCCTATGTGGCCACAGCTTCCCGGCGGAACCCGACATGCTCAGGAACACGTTCGCGGCCGTATTCGCGGGCGCCGACGACGACGCGGACGGCGCCCCTCTGACCGAGGAGCAAAAGCAGAAGAGGGCTTTGAGAACCATGAGGGAGGAGGTGGCGTTGCACGTCGACACGGCGGAGTACGACGCCCAGGCGCGGTTATTGAAGCAACACATCTATGGGGCCACGATCCTCGTGAGGGGGGTGCCACAATGGTCCGGGGCCGCCGTGCGAACCTTGCCACTGGCGCCTTCGCTGGAGCTCCGATGGGGCCGCGATCCTCGTGAGGGGTGTGCCGAAATGGCCCAGGGCCGCCATGCGAACCTTGCCACTGGGGCCTTCGCTGGAGCTCATATGGGGCCACGATCCTCGTGAAGAGTGTGCCGAAATGGCCCGGGGCCACCATGCGAACGCTGCCACTGGGGCCTTCGCTGGAGCTCCCTATGGGGCCACGATCCTCGTGAGAGGTGTGCCGACAAGGCCCGGGGCCGCCATGCGAACGCTGCCACTGGGGCCTTCGGTGGAGCTCCCTATGGGGCCACGATCCTCGTGAGGGGTGTGCCGCAATGGCCCGAGGCCGCCATGCGAACGCTGCCACTGGCGCCTACGCTGGAGCTCCGTTTGGGGCCACGATCCTCGTGAGGGGTGTGCCGAAATGGCCCGAGGCCGCCATGCAAACGCTGCCACTGGGGCCTTCGCTGGAGCTCCCTATGGGGCCACGATCCTCGTGAGGGATGTGCCGAAATGGCCCGAGGCCGCCAAGCGAACGCTGCCACTGGGGCCTTCGGTGGAGCTCCTTTTGGGGCCACGATCCTCGTGAGGGGTGTGCCGAAATGGGGTGGGGCCGCCAAGCGAACGCTGCCACTGGGGCCTTCGGTGGAGCCCCCCATGGGGCCGCTGTGCGAACGGTGCCACTGGGGCCTTCGGTGGAGCTCCTTTTGGGGCCACGATCCTCGTGGGCGGTGTGCCGACATGGGGCGGGGCCGCCATGCGAACGCTGCCACTGGAGCCTTCGGTGGAGCTCCCTATGGGGCCACGAACCGCGTGAGGGGTGCGCCAAAATGGGGCGGGGCCGCCATGCGAACGCTGCCACTGGGGCCTCTCTTTTCTAGATGTTTTAAGGTGTGGCCAAGCTCGCGCGGCGCGAGCTCAGGTGCGAACAGCTGCGGAGGGCAGCTGTCGGCGGCAGGCGAAAGCCTCGGCAGCCGAGCAGCAAAGGAAACGAGCTGGCCAA